GTCCGGGGGGCAGCGTCGCAGCGGGAGGACGGGTCCCGACGACGCCGGCGGTTGGGGAGTGGACGGCGCGTCGAGAAGGGCCGTCGGGAAGGCGAGCGCGCTGCACGCGTCCCTGCTCAGCTTCCCTCGCGCTAGCTGGCTTTTCCTTCCCAACGCTGGTTTATAAAAGTATAAAAAGATTTTGCAGTCTGCAGCTTCAGCCGGCGCGAACAGCACGTGGGGTTGCGCGATACTCCCGTTCGGTTAGACCGTATCGATATCGCAGCCCTGGGAGTTTGTTCCCGTGTTTTTATTTTTATTTTTGCAAGCCCCAGATGTTTTTCCGGGGAGGGTCGGAGACTGGTGCCTGCGAGCGCCTGGCTTTTCCCCCCTTCCCAGGACAGCCGAGAAGAAGATGCTCTGCTACCCGAGTAAGGTTACGATATCCGGACCTCGCGTCTCTATGCTTCAGAGGCGTTCTGCTGTGTTTTATATATCGAAAGCAAAGGAAATAAATCTCGCGCCGCTAACGCCGCGTGTGCGCGGGGATTGCGGACGCAGCCCGGTCTCTCCGAGCAAGCATTTTCCCCCCTTCCCAGGACAGCCGAGAAGAAGATGCTCTGCTACCCGAGTAAGGTTACGATATCCGGACCTCGCGTCTCTATGCTTCAGAGGCGTTCTGCTGTGTTTTATATATCGAAAGCAAAGGAAATAAATCTCGCGCCGCTAACGCCGCGTGTGCGCGGGGATTGCGGACGCAGCCCGGTCTCTCCGAGCAAGCAAACGCTCTGTTTCTAACCCAGTCGAGGTTTGCAACGCGCAAAATAAGGTGGTGTTTTCTAGACGTGGGATTTCCCTAAAAAGGCTATTAGCGGCGCTGGTTGTTTTTGTAACGAAGACCGGGGAGGGGGACGCAGGCGAACGCTTTGGGGCTGCGTTTGTTCGCGGGGCGATCCTTCTGTTTGATCGGATTTTGCGCGGGGTTTTCGCTTAAGCCCAGGCGGTGGTTTCCCCCGATGCGGTTAAAACGCTGTTTTGTCTCTAGCGCTTAGTTTTAATCGCCGCTGTAGTGGGAGGTGGCAAGCAAACTCAAGGCACATGCCTTTTTTTTTTTTAATATATTTTTTATTCTATATTTTATACAAGTATTTTTTTATTAGGTCCTTGACGTGCCTTTATCCTCCCGATAAATTTGCACGCTCCTGGGGTAAGGCAAAGCTGTCTTCGGCGCCGGATGGCAACGCAGCTGCCCGAAACCCGCCTGCGTGCCGGAGCCGGCGCGCGGGCACCCTTCCTTCGCCAGCGTCCCGGGAGCGGAGCAGGACCGGGCAGGGCAGCGGAGCGTTTCCCCGTAACGCGCCCGTCCCCGCGGCCGAACCGCGCGGCGTTTCTGCAAGGTTGGTAGCCAGTGGCGTCCGCCCCCGGCTTAAAAAAAAAAAAAACACGAGTCGACTGTCACGCTGAACACGAAGAAATGTAACTATTACATTTTACAGTTCGCTTTTGCTTTGCGGCGCATGTTCGTTTAAAGGTTCGTTTAAACCTCTCCGGGGTTTGCATTCTGCTGATAGGATAGCAGGCCTTAATTTACAGATATTCTTCAGTAACGCGCGCTTTATGTACGTTCGGCTAATAGCATTATGAGCGCAGTTTGTACTAATACAAAATTAGAGCTCCGATTTGCATAAACAAATTACTGTTTGGATTAGTGCTAAACGGTTAAGACGACTGATATTTGAGGAGATTTGCTTTGGCTGGAAGGGCGCCTGTTTGCATAGCAGCATATGTGCAGAAACGAGCCGGGTGGCTCCGCGCGGATTGGGAGGGAGACGGCGTCGCGCAGGGCAAGGCGGGCTGTGAACTGGATGGGTTTTCGGCAGCAGACGAGCCCAACCAGGATGGATTTGTCCCTGGGGTGCCGCTTCAGAGCTTACGAAAGCTGTCTTTCACCTGATGGAGCAGGCGAGCATTCAGAACGACCTTAGCGTCAATACATGCGACTGTATCGCGGCTCCAGAGCGGGCTGTGAGAGCGGTGGCATCCCTACTCTCGTCCCTCCTGAGTGGGAAGCTGGAGAAGGCGCCCCAAACCTGCTCTCTTGACCCAGCTTGGGTCGCAGGCTCCGTTCTAGGCGTTGGGCATCCAGCGATAAATGGGGGATGGCAGCAGTTTTGGGCCACCGCAGGGGAGCCTTTGCGAGAGCTGGGGTTGGAGGTAACTCCGGAAATCCCAAAGCTGATGGAGCTCCGTTAAGCTCGGTTCAGCTCAGGGGAGGTCCCACGTTCTTGCTTGAGCCTCCTGTCTGTGGTGTTACAAATGCACATTTCTTTGTCTCCTGTTTGCTCATGGGCCTGGAGCTGCAAGCCGAGGGATACTGGGTTGATGGGACCCCATGGATCATCTGTGGAGATCTAGGGCATCAGCTCTGGCTGTGAGAGACAGAAGAAATGGGGAATCAGAGCTTTCCCTCTGCCTAGAGCAAGAGCATCCCTGGTTTCCCTCTGTAGTGCCAGAGAGCTCTTCCTCCACCATCCAGCGCTGTGTCCTGTACCAGATTGCGAGTAGGGAGAGTCTCCGTCTGGATGTTTCTCGCAACCTTGGGTTTGTCCACGAAGCAGCAGCTCCTCGCGATAACCTCCCCGGGTTCAGTGCTTACCTCCTCTCGGTCTCTCGTTTCCTTGCAGATCGCCGGTGTTAAACCAAACGCGCCCGTCGCCGCCGAGCAGCAAGTCGCAGCAAATGCAGCAGCGCTGGCGGAGCAAAGGCTTGCGCTGCATCGGCGGCGTGATGTACAGGGTGTCGGCGAACAAACTCTCCAAGACCTCCAGCACTCCCGGCAGGAGCAGAGAGCAGAGCGCCAAGAGCCCCGGCAGAGCAGGTGAGCGCTGAGCGTTGTTTTGTCCTGGTCCGCGATAAAAAGCCGACAATTTGGCTTTGGCAGCAAAGTCGGCTTTAAGCCGGCGTGTCCCCAGCCTGCGCGTTGCGGCATGTCACCTCCTGTGGCTTGCCGCTGCTCCTGCGCGTGGGTCCACGCTCTGGACGAGGTCCCTGAGAAGTCGAGTGGGGAAGGGAGACCTTCTTTTTTTTGTTGTTTTTGTTTAAAGAGATGGAGCTCAGCCAGCCCTTCAAACACAGCAGCCCTGAAGGGAAAGCAGTTTTGAAGGTAATTTAAGAAAATCCAGTTTTTCTCAACTCAGAGAGTAGCAGGTGTGGTTCAAGCCTGTAGAGAAACCCTGTTAATTTTGCCTCCCGCTCCCCTTTTTTTTTTTTTTTAACCTTTAGCTAAGTCCTAGGCAGTTTGAAGTTAAATAAACCTCCCAAGGTTAAATGTCTTGCTTATGCTTACCAAATTACATTTCCTCTTGACCTATGAGTGCCAAGAGGCTCATTCTGCAGGTAACTTTGAAACATTGTCGTTTTGATGCGGTTGCTGGTTTTACATGTATCTTCAAGCAAACCCGAGTCTTGCCTGTGGACTCTGGCGGGAGGCAGAAAGGCGCGTTGTCTGCTCCCGTTGTGCTCGATGCCGTTTTTAACGGTACCTTAAGCAGTTTTTCGAGTTTGAGCCTGGCCCTCAAATGTGTTTTGCTCCGTATTTGCTTTATTGCTGGGTTTTGGGGACAATTACGCTGGGAAAGACAAAGCAAGTGGCTATGAGCACGGGATGGAGGGAAGGAGCCTTGGGCAGGCACAAAAATCCTGACAGTGGGAGAACAGAGCCGCTTCGGGAAGTTTGAAAAACACGAGGAAAATCGGGAGCAAACAGCAACATTGCCACAAAGAGTAACTAACTCCCCGCTAACGCGTGCACGCAGGCGGTGAGCGGCACGAGAGAGAAATTTGGGTCAGGTGGCAGAGGCAACGATGATAAACGCTTCCTGCACATCGTCTCTGGGGGCGAGGAGGGCGGAGATTTAGCTTAAAGCAAGGATTAGCCACCCAGGGCCTGCGGCTGGGAAATGCAGACGTGCACAGATGATAGCAGAGATGCCGGTGCTGCGGAGGTCAGAGGGGCACCGACTTGCTGAAGCTTCGTTTGCAGGTAGTCTCCCTCCCCAGAGTGTTAAAGGGAGGCTCAGCAACGCTATGGGGCTGAAGCCGTGGCTGCCGTTTTCACCACTTTGCCTTGTCCAGGACAAATTTCAACGGTTGGCTACCTGGGCACACATCGCGCGCCTTCCTCCTCGCTGCTCCCTCTGCAAGTGTGGACATGCATGTGTGCGCGTGTGTCCGTGCGGCTTGTGTGGACATCCGGCTTTGCTGCCGCACTGGAGGAGGGTGGGGAGGAATCAGCATTTGAAGGCTTGGGAGAGAAGTCTATAAAGCTAGCTCAGGAATTGGCGGACCAAGCAAAGCTCGGTGCCAGTGATCTTGGATTTCCAAGAGCTTTGCTACCAGCAATGGGATTTTCCAGAGTGTCTGAACCTCTTAACTCCTGTTGCCTGTCCATGGGATCAGGCACTTACTTCTAGGTACTTGTGGAGACTCTCCTGTAGAGCTGCTGCTTGCTGTCAGGAGACATGGTAATTCAAAGCAATTGTAAGAAATGGGAAAAACAACCTGAAAAAATGATGAGTCCAACGTACTACCCTTGGGGCAGGAGCAACAAGCTACACAAAAACAGGAGGGAACAAGCAAGTCAAGGGCGCTCCTGCTGTTAAGGACCAGCCTCTGTAATGCATCTTCTAATGCTGTACCAGCAACGCGCTATGGCAAAGGCAGCGAACATATTGCTGGAGTGTGTAAGGAGGGGTGAAACCTTTGAGATGGGGGCAGGGACCTTTCTGCTCTGCTCCGCTTGGGAGGGTGTTAGGTAGACCACTGGCTCCATCTCTGGGGACTTGGTTTCAGGACAGGGTCAGGCCGGTTGGAAGGGTCTGGGGGAGAACAAAGTGATGGCTACAAAAGTGAAGGACCTGGGTCTGCTCCATCTAAAGAGGAGGAGACGGCCTCCATATTCATAATCAGCTGAGCAAAGGAAGGGAATGATGTCTTCTCCACAGCCAGGTGGATCAGCCAAGTAAGGAACTTGAACTGTGGCAAGATGCAGATCTGATGCTAGGGAGAGGTTTTGAAGGTTGAGGAGTAGGAGGTGCTGGAGGAAGTTGGCTGGGTTGACTGACATCCCTGTTATTGGGATTTTTAAAGGACAGGTTACATGATCTGCTTGGGGGAGACATAGGTGAAGTAGGTCCTACCTTGCAATGAGGAGATGGACTTGATGACTCAAGCCTCTGACTCATTTTCAGTTGATCCACTAGTGGGTTTAATTTAGGTGCTAGGAGGCCAAGCAGAGGAATGCCAGCCCCAAACGCAGTTTCTGGGAGGGAGGTTGAGCCGTAGATACGTCAGGAGGATTTTTGCAAATTTGGGCAGCAGCATTGTTCTTGGGGTTTTGCTGGGGGGATTTCAGGTGGTCTCCTCAGTGTGAGCAAGAAGATGCGATGGGCGCCCCTCGCTTTGCGGGCTCCTCAGTGCCGTGCCACCAGCAGCCGTACAGTGACGGTGCTTCAGTTAACCCAGGACACGTGAGCGCTGGTCTGCTTTGTCCATGTGGTGGGTGACAACCCAAATTCATCCATGGCGTTGTGGAGCCTTACAGCAACAGGGGGCTGAGAGCTTCGGTCTCCCCACTTGCCCGTGAGACCTTTCCACCGGAGCAAATGGAGACTCCGTGAGCGGCGAGTCCCGAGGGCATGTGCTGAGCTTTGCAGAGGGCAGGGGCGAACCCTCCGACCTATCAGTCGCCATAACTTCCTCCGCTTGTAGAAGTGATTATTGCGGCTGTAAGAGGATTGCGTCTCTGAAAGCGAGCGTGCAGGCGGGACCCTTTGATTGGCGCTCTCCGCAACAACACTTATTTATGGCTTATCGAATGCTCGGTCCCGCTTTTGTAGGGAAGCGTTGAAAGGAAATACGCCTCTGACATAACCCTTTAACTGTTGGATTTGTCTCCGATTAAAGATGTGAGTTACTGCCTCGTCCTAATTCGCTGGCTTATCTCACCAATGTTGGCACGTAGCGAGCAGCTTGCAGAAGAGTTGTGCCTTGCAAGGAAAGGGCAGTGATTTTCAAGGGTTTTAGTTTGCTTAGGTGGCCCAAAGCTGCTTTAAGAAGAAAAGGTTCGATCAAAGGCAGCGGATGAGACCGCACTGGCCAGCTTAGGACAGGCTGAAGTTGTGCAAATTACTATTTCCCCTTTTTGTTCTTGATTTGAAAATAACGAGGCTCTCGGGAAGATGGGAAACTAGACCATGAGAAGGGCCCCCAGCAAAACCAAGAGCAAGTGGCTTTCCATCAGCTTTGGTGAAGTCGCTCAGGACTTGCAACGTCTTGGTGCAGTAAACCCTGGCGAGAGGTGGGAGGGCCAGACCCGCCAGTGGGAAGGGAGATGCTCCCAGTGTGTCCTGCATCGGAGGAGAGGCGATCCCCTCATCTTTCTTTCCCTCCCTTTCCGGAAAGATAGTGTGTCCATGCTTTTCCTTCAGTAACGTTTCATTTGGGGGAGCAGGTTTAATTAGTCCTGCTTTGGGACAGAAGGTCACTTCTGGGCTCATTTTCTATAAAAAAAAAAAAACCTCTATTTTTTAGATGTTTATGTTTTAGCACGAGTCGCCTTATCCCCGCTATTTGGAGCATTCGGTCTCTAACCGTAAATCTCTCTTTCCTCTTGTGCGTCAGTACTTTCGTTTTGTCTTTGGGCTGTAGCCGTAATCCATCCTCCTTTGCAAGGGTGGATTCGACATATACCAATTTATCTTGCTTTAGGATAACTGTGGCTGGTGGGGCGTAAGACTTGCACGTACTTGCTGTGTACAAGTCTTTGCACATTTGCTGAACGGTCTGCGTTTAAACACTTTGCAAAGTATGTTTAAAAGCAGAAAAAACAGTTTTCCCGCTCCCTGCCGGTGCCAGATGCTATCTTTGGGAGAGCAGAGAGACGGGAGACACGCTGGGCGTTTAATAGCTTTGAATTTATTTAAGCTGGGATATAATTTTGCGTTGCGGTTCTGCTGTTCATCCGAACTTGTTGGATTGCTCTTTTGCCTCCTCTTGGCTCAACTGCATACAGAGATGCAGCGGGTGAAGCCTTTGACTCCCCAAGTCTTTGCCTTCGGTTGCCTCAAGCGGATCCGCTCTGCCCACGACGGCCAGTCTCCGCAGCCTGCTGAAGGCTGGGACAAAAAATCTACATCCTGAACTTGCAATTTCTTGGTTAAAAGCGCAGTGGGATGCCGAATCGGTGGCCTGGTAGCGTGGCTTGGCTCTGGGGTACTCTGTTGTGGCCATACGTGTTGTCTCTGTACTGGGAAAGTCCGCAAGCAGAAAATACCCCATTTTTAGTACTAGCGGAGAAAGCCCAACGACTGATAGCTCTTTCTAACGCGGTTGCGTTGATTCTGCAGAGGTAATCGGAATAAAAAATAGTACCAGGCCTTTTCTGACATTTGGGTTGGAAGAGTCCTTGGTTTCTAGTCTTTGGTTCAACCAAACTGGCCCATAGGTACCATAGGCCCATAGGTAATGTGGAAATTATCATTTTTGATGAGATGCCAGTAGGAAAATAGGCTGTGGGACGGCATGGCAAGTGTATGATACATTGCAATTAGATGTGGCTTCAATTAAGCAAACGCAATAATCGGGTTTCTTTGCTCACGACGACCCTTTCCTTCATTTCCTTCTGCAACCGTGGAGCCGTTGTTCGGACGGTTGAGGGATTTCCGTGAAATTGGGGAAACGAGCCAAAGGTCCTGGCAAAATAGGATGTCAAAGAGGAGGAGACCCGCCGGTGATGCCGGCGCTGGAGCCTGGGGGAGGTGCTCCCGAGTATCAGCCGGACC